TCGGTTCGGTTCAGGTTTATTGCAACTGTGAGTTGTTACACTTGCACGCCAATTACGCTAATGAATAGTTATGACGCACGCTAATTAGCTATTTGCATATTTCTAACACCCTCCCGGGCGGCAAAGGTTAGCTATATATTGCAAGGTTTGTTACGTAATAGCATTGTACATAGCATTCCAATGTTCTCATAAGATATGTTTACAGATATGGTTTAAAAACCACTACAGAGTTTTTTTATTTTCTCAGCTGCAGCTTGCGCTGCTGCTCGTTTTGGACGAGTTCCCTTTAGACGAGTCGCCTCATCCGGTTCACGCTCGGGATCGGCAGATTCTTCAGATGATCGCACTTCTAACGGATATAACCTCTCGATTGGTCTGGAAAGTATCCTGCCGTTGCTCACGCGCAAGGATACAGCTCTTGTCTGACTRTCTTTCCCAAGGTGTAACTTGGTGATCACGCCCAGTCTCCACTGATTACGTGGCGTATCGTTGTTTATCAATACAACATCCCCTATGTTTGGTCCTTGGTTGGGATTCTTTCTTTTCGACCAGTGATGTTCTCGGAGGCTGGTGAGATATTCGCCTCTCCACTGGTTCCAAAATACCTCCATTAGCTTTTCTYTATACGCCCATCTTTTTGTCAGCTCATTGGGTGTGACATCTGTTGGGGAATAGTCTGGATCGTTGTTGGATACGGCCAATTGCGACAGGAAATGGGGGGCAGATGGTCTGCGTAACCAGTGCTTTGAGCTCTATCTCCTGTTGGCTGTCTGTAAGTACGTGCATCGTGACGACCTCTAGCGATTTTYTCACCTGATTTAGTGAGCCGAATGTAGTGAGGTTTATATTTTCTTTGCTACTTGCCTTGAGGTTGAGTTTCTCTTTAAGGCTTCTAGTTATATATGTTCTTTGAGACCCTGAGTCAAACATCGCTCGTACGGTCATTTGTGTACTATAGCCTTTTAYACGGACGATGGCGGATTGCATCAGAATATAGTCTTTGGCTAAGACGGCGTACGTTGTGCCTGAGTGGACCGATTTGTGTTCGGTTTCATTCTGCTGTTTCTCATCTTTTGGCTCGATGTCGTTACATATTGATGTGTGATGCTTTCTCTTGCATTTCAGACATCTTCCTTTTGATTTGCATTGATTCGATGAGTGTTTGAAACCCGCGCAATTGTAGCACCGTTTGTTTTGTTGTAGAAATGCGCGTCTTTCTTCTACTGATGTAAGCTTGTCGCATTTGTCGGATCTGTGCGCGCCATCGCAGTATACGCAGCCTTTAGATTTGTGCTGATAGTTCGGTTTGCGCGTGCTTTTCTCTGCGCCCGCAAGGAATGTGCTCGCTGTTGGGACAAGGAGTTCGTCCTCTATTTGGCTTGACGCGCTTGTTGCCGCCGTGCTCCTCTCGCGTGTTTCAATTTCCTTTCTGATTTCTGATCTGAGTTCGGCGAGTGATTTGTCAGCCGATGCGTTGGCCCGAAATACGAGTCTAGTCATTTCTTCCGGTAGTTTTTTAAGTAGTATTGGGATCAAAAGATTGCCGTATGAGTCTGCATTGATGCCTAGAGCTTCTAGTCCCCGTATGTTTGATTCGCATGTATCGTAGAATTCCCTTAGCTTTGTAATGTTGTTTGTCGGCGGCGAGATGTTTAGCAAGGATTCCATGTGCGCGTTTATCAGGACTTGTTTTGTCCGAAACGTTCTTTTAGAATCTGTGTTGCTTTTTCATAATTGTTGGACGTCATTGGGAGTCCGGCAATCGCGCGCGCTGCTTCGTCTTTTAGAGTTCCGCTTAGATAAGACATTTTTTGGACATTCGAAAGGTTGTTGTTTTCATCTATGGTAGCGCTGAAGCTATCCCAAAATGTTTGCCATTCAAGGGGGTTTCCGTGAAATGGTTTGATTGTCATTTTTGGTAGATTGACATATGCTTTTGAGGACGATTCGGCGTGTGTGTTTTGGTTTGGTCTTACCGGGTTCTTGCTTTGAATATATCTTGTGATTCTTGTCTTGACCACTGATATCTTGTCTTGCAGCGTTAGCGCCTCTTCGACGTCTTTCTCTATGGCGCCTGCGTCCTCTAGTAGGTTCACTATGTTTCCGTCTAGCGATGTTATTTCGTCTTCTCTCCTGGTAAGGCGTTCGAGGGTTGCTACTAGCTCTTCTGATTAGTCGTCTTCAGCGCTCAACAGACGGTCGGCTTTGGTCAAGTCTTGTGTAACGTGGCCTTTGTATGCGCCTCTCACAGCTCTCAGTCTTGTTAATTCTTTCGACATCTCAAGTCTCAAGTCGGGTTTTTCGGCACCAAGTTTGTGGGAAAGTCAGACTGACTACTTGAATCGGTTCGGTTCAGGTTTATTGCAACTGTGAGTTGTTACACTTGCACGCCAATTACGCTAATGAATAGTTATGACGCACGCTAATTAGCTATTTGCATATTTCTAACACAACCAGGCTTGTAATAGAAACCGACAGGTCAGCATTGTGTGTTGTTTCAACACCGGTCGGAATTTTTCCTATGCCGGTGATTTTTCATTGATACATATAATTATAACAAATTATAACATATACATAAGAAAAAAACATTAGGAAAAATTTCCTGCTTTCTGAATTCCGAAATCAAACTTGATCGTGCTGTTCGTGACTCCGATCCGCATAATCGTTCTCACATGGATGACTTGCGCCCTAGAATAAACATTCCTCCACATACAGTCTGACTTGATTAGCCACATCAGATGATGTCGAGGCACATGGTAGACAGAGTCAGAAGTCTACCCTTTGTGCTTACTTATTTTTTTTCCTTTACCAAAGTTAAGTGAGGAAATGCTAAACTTATTTATGGAAACAATAAATTAAACTTCTGCCTTGAATGAATGAATTGAACGTTCAAGATTCAATGACAAAGAAATTGGAATACGATTTGTATAAAATCCTTATACATTCCCTAATTTCCTAGAGTAGATACCCTAAAAGTGTGGATGCATTAAAAAAGGTCTCTTTTAGGTAAGACAATAACACGTATGTACCTGACATTTCACTGAACTAGTGATCCTTTCGCCACAGAAGAGTACTGACCCACATGCACATAAGTAACACAATCCGCGTGACATATAGAATCATTGCGGTTGCTAGTGCGCAAGAAACTGACATCTGATTGGCTTATTTGAGGTCGTATTGCCATGACCTTCGGCGTGGTTCTATATTTCAAAAAACGTTGTCGGAGAGAACGGAGAATGGCGAAAGTTGCAAACAAATACACAAGAAACTAGCTTTGACTTTGGTTGTTAACGGGACTCGTCGCTTTAGTATTACAAACGAAGTCCGTTTAGTGTAGGCTTTGTCGTTGGAGAAGCTTTTTATTTTTGTTCTGCAAAACAAAAAATTTAATTCATTCATTTTGACCTGTTGTCAATGTTGTACGTTGCACGTGAAAATTTGTGTGAAAACTAAAACTTTGCATAATAATGAAGTGTTTTGTTTTTAATAATTGATGTCATTCAGATACTAAAATGGAAACCATAAGGACAAGGACGATTCCCTATTAATATTCATAACCCACATTACTGTTCGGTCGTGCAACTTTCATTCGACAACTTTCATTTGCCGTTCTCTCCGACAACGTTTTTTGAAATAAGTGTATGTTTCATTGCCCCATATCAACTATGCAACCAGTATTCTGATAAATTTCTTTGTGTTTTTTGTTTGTTTGCTTTTTTTCGTGATCTGAGATTTCACAATTGTTTAGGTTGGTTTATAAGTGTATTTTTCAGAATAAATGTCATCCTAAATGAATAAGTCAATAAGGAATGTGTGATGATCGAGAGAGTAAAATATAGATCAATAATTATAATTCTTACAAGAGGCACTAGAGCTCTATATCCCCATCCCGCACTGTAATGGATTATCGGGTAAATGTTTATCAACCTACGGCAGTAACACCTGAAATACTAACGACCGAAATTGCTTAGCAGCAGTACTTTTTTTTAGATTTTAAAAAATCTAGTGAGTTCCGATGACTTAAAACACGTAAGACTTTGAAATGTTGAATGATGTTGGTTTATTTCCATTGCAATCCTTTATCACAGAAGTGAAATAATTTAACAAAAAAAGGAATAGAAATAAGTTAAATTCCTAAATAATAGTGTCATGGATATTGTGAACACTTTGTGCAAAAACACTACATGTACATCATAACTGCAATGATTACTCTAAGTGATATATAACATTTGTGGCCTTACTGGGGTGTCCGGTGCAGCAATAGACACCTACTCCTATTGCATCAATCTTAGTTCCTTTATTGCAATGTCTCTCACTCCTCTACGATTCACTTTACCCGTACGAGTGAGGGGAAAACTATCAAGAAAGACATAGTAATGGGGTTTAATCATGAACCCGATGGAAAACTTCAAGAATTTGTCTTTGCCCCATTCGTCAAATTGCTCGCTCAGGTCATTCCTGTTGTCATGGTGATCCTGTTTGAGTATAATACATGCACATATCTTCTGGTACAATCGCTCGTCAGGAACTCCGACGACGCACACTTTCTTGACATCAGGGTGTTGTTGCAACGTACTTTCAACAAGAGCTGGTGGAATGGAGTCGGTGGCTACTTTGATCATGAAATCAAGTCGACCAAGTAATCTGATGCAATTTTGGTTGACAACAACTCCAACATCTTTAGACGAATGCCATCCATTGGGTTTCTTGATTGTATCAACTCGGCCTTCCAGGTCAGGGTTCATGTAGTCCCAGTTGCAGAAAGAAACCCAAGCTGATCGCAGACAGATTTCACCTGTGTAAAAGCAAAGGTTTTACGCTACATAAAAACTAGATACAAACCAAGAGAATTACGTTATACACATTTGTCATTCAAATAATCGCCATAAAATGCCTTAAAATTTTAATTGCATTAAAATGTTTGGTCAAGGTAAGGATAGCTAGACAAAAAAATGTAAATATTCTTTGAAAATAATGGGCGGTATCCTTCAAGACTGGGATAGACACGCAGACATACTAATATATACATGTAATTTCCAGCGCAATTGACAAACACACAGAGCCGCACTGCTAATTTTTAAGGAGTTGATATAACTTCAAAGGAGGAGCTAAAAAAATACCATCAGATAACTTTTTTCCTGGACATAGATTTCACCCCAATAATATTGAGCTGCACATGGGTGAGTAATTTTGACTATTCTTTTAAGAACAATTTTGAGCCCCTTTTGGAGTAATTTTGCACTTCTTCCCGAGTAAATTGAAATCTCTGGAGTAAAAACTACTCGCATTAGAGAGTAGATTTTACTCTTTTCAAAGGTTCTCCACTAGGTAGAGTAACATTTACTGAATTAGAGGAGCTATTTCAACTCCTTGAAAATAACAGTGCGGGTTAAAACAAAAAAAATTACAAACCTTTTCCCCCAGTTGGCATAAGTTCACCTTCTTCATTTACGATCTTTATTTCCAAACCAGGAATGACTCTCATAATTCCATAGTCCAAGGAATCCAAGCTACCTTTGGTGAATTTCTGTACTGATATTATTGGTACTTCAGTCGAACCATATAAATTCAAAAAGTTGAGATTCGGCCAAATAGAGAACATTGTCTTTATAAGAGACAAGGGAGTAGGTTGACCTCCAGTGCTTACGTACTGAACCTTTTCCATATTTTTCGCGATGATTTCTTCTTTATGACAGGCGATGTCCTGTAGCGTTGGTAGTACAAAATGAGCATCAGTGACAGCTTCTTCCTGGATTATCCTCATTATGGACATAACATGTTGACTAGAAATGGCACATTTGGGAGGAAAGGTAACAAAAGTAAGACCACAAAGGCATGATAGTACACAGGACATGATTCCCGGAACCCAGTTGAAAGGGAGGGCATTAAAGAATATGGAATCTCGAGTCAATTCCAAAGAATTGATAGATGCATGGATTCCGTTGACATATGCATGGTATGTAAATTCAATTGGCTTTGGAAGTGATGTGGTTCCCGACGAAAATAGAACCAAACAAGGATCATCCATTTGTACTGTGGCTTCAGCATTACGGACATTTTCTGTACTTTGTGGGTTGCTTTTGGCCATTGCGTACAATGTTTGGTGAGTGTACACTTTAGGGTGATCGAGAAGATCTGCATCAGCATCAGAGCCCACAATTACTGCAGTCTTGAGCATGTTCTGGTGCAGGGCTTTTTTAATTTCACTGATAACTTTGTCGTTGTTGACGATTGTTGGATCAACTCGAGCGATGACGCAGGCGAGATTTGGAATATCACGAACCGCTAGATAGGAGTTTTCTTCACAAGCTATAGTAACGGCACCTATTCTATTCAGGGCAATGTGGAAGAGAGGAAACTCCATATGCGATGGCAGGAGCATAAGAACTCTATCTCCTCGTCCAACTCCTATTTCAAGTAACCCAGCAGCGAGGGAACTGGACCTGGTGTCGTATTCCTGGAATGTTAGGGAAACTCTGTTGAGTTTCTCATCACGGAAAACAATGGCTTCCTTATTTGGTTGCTGCTTGGCATGTGTTTTTAGGATTTGGAAAGCGGTCCTGTGTTCCAGGGGTCGGTCATGAGGGATGTGAATGTAGCTCATTTTTCTGCAAAAACAGTGATATATATTAAATATCTTGCTCGTGCTTGTATTGGTACTGGCGAAGAATCCGTTCGCCAACTACACGCATGACTGCGCGAAGTCGCACTCTTCATAGAAATGAAATTCATTGTTGAAGAGTTAGTGTCCTCTCCCAGCCGTTAGGACGAGGAACGAACGTCCTAACGGCTGCGAGAGGAGGCTATTGAAGAGTGTCATCAAAAATTTATGCTTATGACTGACTATCATTAACAAGTATAAAGAATGAGGCGAGTTGTGTGGGGTTTCCCAATCCCAATGTAGTTCATTACAGCAGTGAAAACGAATATGTAAACAACGCCTTGCGAATCTGAAGAGCAACGTTTGCAAATTATAAACACATGTTTCATGGTGGTATATAAATAAATACAGTTTTATTGCTCGATTTCATTTCAAGCTTATCAATTATTAATTGAGTTTTAATTATTTGATAATTATAGCTATAACTATTTTGATAGTGTGTATGACATCGATGTAATTCTTCGCTGACCCTTCGTTAGGCGTGCTGAAATTCTGCAGTCTTGTTCTTTGCGTTGTGATCTTAGTTTACATAAGATGGACTAGTTGTTTTAAAGAAGATAGATAGATATGATAGAGTATTTGAGATAAGTGTAGATTGTTTCACGATAGGTTTAACTTTTGACAGGAGACTGCATTTTGTGGACGATTAAGAAAAAAAGAGTTGCCATTTTATAAGTCGCGCATCTCACGAAAGCGATTAATTAGAGATAAGGAATAAAAATCATGAAACAAGACTTGACGATTAAAGTATGATATTCAAATTGCCGAGGAACAAGAGAAAAACACTGCAAAAGAGTGTACTAAGGCGGGTGTATTACAACTGTAGAAGAAGAATATAATTATTACACGTACCCTGCTATGCAGGGGACGTGTAGTAAAATGCTCCTTTTTTTTCTTCGTCAGCTTTTTTTCACAATGTCGAAAGTTTGGCTTCGGTACAACTTCGTAGCCAATCACATTACGTTGTGTGTTCCGAACGCTATAGCCTGTCCATAATCCCTTTTGCTCCATTTTCAACTCGTTCTGCACAGTGTTTTGTCCGCCATTTTGATGAATATTGTCTCTACTAACGAATTTGGGACAGAACATGAAGGTTTACGACCAAAATCTGTCACTCATTACTTGTCTGGGTGTTCGGACCAAGGGTCGACCAAGGGTATGTTGAATTATGATGACGAGGACATCTCAAATACAGAGATGAACACGCTTAGTACTCGTGAAGCAACGGCAACGATTATAATGATTGAATATCAATTGATACAACTCTTTAGAAAACGCTTATTAATTTCATGGCTATTCAAACATCTGCAATGGATATGTCGAGGTTTAATGTAGATGTGCAAAAATATTGTGTTACCATCATAACAAAAAGTTAATAAAGCGTCACGATGTAACCAAATCATGCCTAGTTATATATCTGACCTTAAAATTATACTGCAGAATCACAAAGGCGGTTACAGCCGAAATTTTAAGAGCCAACACATATAAGCTTATCGCAAAAGTCACATATATCTTGGCAAGGCTGGAAGGATCTATTATTTTGTATCAGTAAGGTTTAAGGCCTCATTTACTAATGATCTCACAACATCATGCACAACAAAGGGTGCGTGTCAACCCTGCATACAGGGTCTAGTTTGCTTCATGTTTTTTTTTACTTCATGTCTTATATGAACTGGTTGTGCGCTAGATGTTCAATATGTTATCATTATTATGTAACCACCAAAATAAGGGACGGACCATTGAACTTTTGAGGGGGGGATGATTTCTTTTGAGCAAGATTTTTTTTTTCTTCGTGGCTTTTGGGTAGGATTTCTTTTTTCTCTTGGTGGTGTGTAGGAATTTTTTTTCTTGTATGTAACATTTTTGTTTTTGGCTTAGGGTGGTGCAAGATTTTTTTTTCAGGTCCATATGTTGTGCACGATTTTTTTTGGTGAAGATGGCTTGCAGGATTTTTTTTTTTTCAAAATCAACCACCCCCTCTCTAAGTTGATTCTTTTAAGCTGAGAGCTCTGTGAAAATGCTCAGACTGATAACAATCTTGTAAAAGACCCGATCGACTTTCAAATGGTGTAATAATTTAAATTTCAACATACAAGCTTTTAAATCACCACTGAACGAGAGCTTGTAGGTTGTTCAGTCGACATTGTTATTCAAATTCGTCCGACAATTGTTTACTTCGGTGCTTGTCTGTCATATGTATTAGTGTTTTTCGAAGCGTCAGGTCATAACTTCACAAATAACAAAATATTGATCATTGCGAGAACAAAACGATAGGTTGCTACAGATTTTTTTTTTCAGAACAATAAATTTTCGCGATAATAGTTATTAAACGGAGCAAGAGGAAGCCGGAATACACAGCAAAGTTCGAGACGTATTCTTAGATGTCTGGCTCTGTGACCAAAACTAACATTGACCAGAATATATAACTCATTTTCATATCCACGTCTACAATCTCTAACCAAATAATGAAGTTACAGTGAAATTACTTTGACTATAAAGTGTGATAGTAAAATAGAAACACAAATCAACAATATTAGCAATTAGACGACACATTAAGAAAGATTCGACGCGGCTGGATTCATGATCACTGAGTATTAGTTGCTGCTGTAGCCGCAGCGTGCAATTAAAGCCAAGTCAATTTGCGACACTTTTTTTGCGCATGTAAGCGGATTAATCCACTTATATTTAAATTAAATATAAAACACAACGCCAAAATAGATTTCATTTTTGCCTGACAGTCTCAAAATAAAAATATATAGAGCAGTTTTGAGCAGTTTTTAATACCGAACATCGAGCTTACGCTGGCAACTATCACGGCATATAGTGCACTCGATTCAGCTACACTATAATTGTTTAAACATTTCCCATACTATTCTACATTTGATAATATCAAGTATAGT